TACTTGACAGATAATGGGATTACATCCCAGCTAACTGCGCCTGGCACGCCTCAGCAAAATGGCGTAGAGAACAGAGGAACAGGACTCTTATGGAAATGGTTAGGGCAATGATGAGTTGTAGTACATTACTATATTCGTTTTGGGGATATGCCCTAGAAACAGCGGTTTATATTCTGAATAGAGTACCTTCTAAATCAGTACCGTCTACACCATTGGAGTTGTGGTCTGGGCATAAGCCTAGTCTAAGACATCTCAGGATTTGGGGTAGCCCAGCACATGTGCTGAGAATCGATACTGATAAGTTGGAACCAAGATCAGAAGTAAGGCTGTTTGTGGGATATTCTAAGGAAACGAAAGGTGGTCTATTTTATAGTCCCGAGGACCAGAAAATAATCATTAACACGAATGCTAGGTTCTTGGAAGAAGGCTATGTCTTAGATCATAAGCCCAGTAGTAGACATGTTCTTGAGGAGTTAAAGGGAGTGAGTACTTCAATACCGAGTGCGCTAGATGTTACACCACAAAGTAATGCAACACGTATCGCTGATAATGCACCTGAGCAGGTAGTACCTCATCGTAGTGGGAGGGTTGTCCGGAAACCCGAACGGTTCATGGGTCTAGTAGAGTCTTCTGAGGCCATCCCGGATGTTCTTGAAACCGACCCATGGACATACAATGAGGCACTCCAAGATCGGAACGCAGAGTCTTGGCAAAAGGCGATGAAGTCTGAATTAGAGTCAATGGACACTAATTAGGTCTGGGATCTTGTAGAGCCACCCAGTGGCGTTCGAGCCATTGGATGCAAGTGGGTCTATAAGAGAAAGAGAGGATCAGATGGGAAGATTGAGACCTTCAAAGCTAGGCTTGTTGCGAAAGGGTACAATCGGAAAGAAGGGATCGATTATGAGGAAACCTTAACGGGAATTTGGACGAGGACATCTATATGCAGCAACCAGAAGGATTCATTGCAAAGGGCCAAGAACATCTGGTCTGCAAGCTGAAGAGGCCTTAACGGGAATTTGGACGAGGACATCTATATGCAGCAACCAGAAGGATTCATTGCAAAGGGCCAAGAACATCTGGTCTGCAAGCTGAAGAGGCCATTTATGGGCTGAAGAAAGCTTCGAGGTCTTGGAACATCCGTTTTGACGAGGTTGTCCAATCGTATGGATTTACCCATGTCCGAATGAGCACTGTGTGTACAAGAAAAGTGATGGAAACGTGGTGGTGTTTCTAGTGCTGTACGTGGATGATATTCTTCTCATTGGAAACAATGTGAAGATGTTGTCAGACGTAAAGGTATGGTTATCCAAGCAGTTTGATATGAAGGATTTGGGTGAAGTAGGACATGTTCTCGGAATCAAGGTTATTCGCGACCGAGAGAAGAGAAAGTTGTGCCTATCCCAATCCACATACATAGACACTGTCCTAAAGCGTTTCAACATGCAGGATTCCAAGAAAGGGGATTTGCCCTTTCGGCACGGAATGCCTCTATCTAAGAGGATGTCCCCGAAGACGCCTAAGGATATAGAGGACATGAAGGCAGTTCCTTATGCATCGGCAGTAGGAAGCCTCATGTATGCAATGTTGTGCACGCGACCTGATATTTTTTATGCCGTGGGCATGGTAGCAAGATATCAGAGTAATCCAGGGCCGGAACATTGGTCTGCGGTAAAACATATACTCAAGTACCTTCGTAGGACTAAGGAGTACATGTTGGTTCACCAGGCAGATGAGTTGCTTCCGTTGGGTTACACCGATTCTGACTTTCAAGTAGACCGGGACAAAAGCAATTCAACCTCAGGGTTTGTGTTTACTTTAGGAGGAGGAGCCATTGTATGG